TAAATAAATATTGAATTATTTATATTTAATTAACAACAAGGATTAGGCATGCGACAATCAACATAGAAACCGCTACGCACTTAATCTCTGTTCAAGTACAGGAACAGTACGTAATAAGTACAGGAAGTAAAAATCTGGCTACTTAAAATAAAACATTCAGTTTCTTGCCAGTTCTTCTGAATTGAATCTGTATACTGAACTGGATTGTAGGGAAGAAATATTTATACAAAAAATTTGAGGTTCATAAGCGACTAAATGTCCTATATGAAAAAAATATTTTTGATTTGATTAGAAATGAAATTCATTTATTTGTCATAACAGTCGTCCTTGACATCACTTGGTTATTCTACATAATCAGCTCGCATGATGAAGTGATAATTACACACTTTTTAATAAAAATCTTGCTTTTTTTCGGACTATTCTTATGCCGGACTGGCCTTTACAGATTCACCGGACGATAAGGGACGAGTGCAGATGGCACTCCAAACTAATAGAAGAACTTATTGAATGACTGAAGTCAACTCTGACGGATATGATTAGTCTGAGGGCAGAGCTGGTTTGAACCTCTAACTCCCACCTGACGGATGGGGGAGTGCATATGGCACTCCAAAGGAAGGACTAATTGAGCGAGTGACGATTACGCCTTCAGTCTGAGGGCACCGCCAGGGGTTAGGCCCGACCCTCGGCTCAGGCCGTCGTAATTTCGATCCCCGTTTGAATTGGACGAGAGATCGATCGGAGGAGAAAAAATCTTACTATACATGTGTAATTAAGAAAAATAGGCTTACCATATCTGGCCTCTTCCCCCTCGGGTGCCTGCGCCGTGAGGGTGGCCAATTCCTTCTCCAGATCGACCTGGTGCTCCCCAGAGTCCCATGATAGCAGTCCTGGAACAAATTATGTAAATTAGACATGCGTGATTGTACAGTTGTAAGTATTAGGCTCATTGATTTTAGAAGAACGAGTCTAATCCATTACAATCAAAATAACTATTTTTGTTGCTAAGTAACAGTTATATGTAACGTGCAACTATGATATTAAACTAGCTGTACTCGCGACTTAAAGATAAAGAAATATAAAAATAAAAGATTTTTTTTTAATAAAAGTAGCCTGAGTCACTTCATATTACATCAGCTACCTGCCAAAAAAAGTCTCGTCAAAATTGGTCGAGCCTTTTCAGAGATTAGCCGGAACAAACATACGCCAAAATAACAATTTTTACAATTTTTGTCTGTCTGTCTGAAAAAATCTCTTAATAACTTTTTTAACAAATTTCACGCGGACGAAGTCGGGGGTACAGGTTATCTAATATATATAATTCTCGTGTCGCAGTAATGGCTTTCCAGATTTTTATGAATTTTGTGTGCATATCGGGTAAATCTAAGAATCGGCCAACATCTATTTTTATAGCCTTCAATGATAATTATGACCCCTAAATTTTGTAATATTTTTTTACACATATTTTATTTTTATTTATATTATAATTTACAGTTATAAAGTACATACAACTTCAAATATTAGCACCTTCTACCATCGACCCCTATTTTTATTGGAATATTAATTTATATGACAAAACAACGTTTTCCGGGACAGCTAGATTTTCCGTCAAATTAACATTTTGTACAAAAATATATTCGTAAATAAGAAATAAGAATGAAGTAATTGTCTTTTAAAACTAATATTTAAGACATATTGAACAAAATCATTGCAACCGTAACTTTTACATAATCATTACATAGTATAAAACAAAGTCGTTGTCGCTGTCTGTCCGTCTCTGTGTGCTTAAATCTTTAAAACTAGGCAACGGATTTGAGACTTTTTTTAATAGATAGAGTGATTCTAGAGGAAGGTTTATATATATAATACATGTACACCCAGGGAAAGCCGGGGCGAGTAGCAGTAGTAGTAGTAGTAGAGTAATAAATAAATTAAAGAGACGATTTTGAATCATTTACGCCATCTAGCGGATCTCATAAAATTTGATTTGAGTTGCAAAATAAATAAAACAATGCAATCTTTATTACATGTATATAACGATGAAGATAGACATTTTCACGGCCCATATTCCCCAGGGCTTAGAGGAAGTAATAAAGGAAACTACGACGGGAACGGAACCGCTCTGGTAAATATTTGCAGACACTATTTTCAGTTGGGGACTCAACTTAATAGGATGTTGCGAATGCTCTTATTTGGGGATCGGAAATAATTTATGAAGTGCTCTAACTAGTGTTTTGATTACGTGCTTTTTACGGTCGATGAGTGAATTAGTTTTCATAAACCACATTACTAATGAATTCTGAAAATAATAAAGTTATTATGAATTTGGATAAACAATGTTTTAAACTACTTTCACGGTTGATTACGACAGCACACATCATAATATGTGCGTATGTTATACATTATTGTGCAATTTCTAACGGAATTGTACGACGGGGATTTTTACTTTTAAGTTTAAATGAAATTTTTATATATAATTACTTTTACAAATATTTCTTAATATATTTCTATAAAATTAACGTACGAAATTATATACTTAAATAGATGTAATTGCCTTTTAAAATGAATTTTAAAACACTAGTTGTGTCCACGGTTTCACTCGCATAAAATTTATAGAATAATATTCTGATGTATAAGCTATATTACTGTGAAGTTCGGTAGTTTTTCCGTGAAAGAGTAACAAACATCCATCCATCCAAACTCACAAAATTTCGCGTTTATAATATTAATAAGGTTTAAGATTACAGCAATATCAGTTGAATTTACAACAATGTTTGTACTCTATATTTGGATTTATAGTTTACTACCTGACCGCGCAAATGTTGTTTTCCCAAGTAAAAAAAAATATGGTTGGTGATAGAAGGATGAAAATTTTGGGTAGTATGCAGTATATTTTTTAATGCCACATTATAAAAAAAAATGTTAAGGGCAGATAATCCACTTAGGGGTATAAATTTTTATACCCCTTCTGAGAATCATCACCTATCTAAATAGATAGGTGATGATTCTCACCGAATTGATGATGATGATGATTCTCACCGACCTATCTATTTATATAGGTGATGAATCATCACCTATCTAAATAGATAGGTGATAATGAGTGATGGTGAGAATCATCACCTAACTAAATAGATAGGTAATGATTCTCAGACCTACTGAATATGCATATAAAATTTAATAAAAATGGGCCAAGCCGTTTCGGAGGAGTATGGTAACTAACATTGTGACACGAGAATTTTATATATAAGATTATGATGTTACCACTACATATGTATATTTAGGGACAAGTCCCCTAGGGACAAACAATCGCTTCCACTTCGTGTCCAGAATTAAACACTGTCATGAGTCTGCAGAATTTCACGGGGAAACACCTTAAGTGGATAACATTATTGAAAATTTATGAAAGCCTAGTAACAATTGCTGTTACACAATAGATAAACGGCTGACTGAAGCTGTAATTATAGTAGACAATGATAGGATTAAGCATCTGAATTGTTTTCTGTTTATTCATGGAGGATTGCTTTGAGTATTAATGTAATTTGAGGTAACATTAAATTTATTTTCCTGAAACTATTGGGCGCAGAATATTCGAATTTCGACCATAATTAATTTCAATTAAATTTGAATATTGTTAAGGTTCTACTGTCAAAGATTATACTTTTATGTATATGTGTGTCAAATGTGTAGTGTGTAATGTTTCTTTTATTAATTTCATATATTTGTATGTACAATTAATAAAAATATTGGGATTCTACACTCCTTCTTTATATAAACTATATGTGTTCGAAATTTTATACTTCTCCGTCAGCGTAAATTTTCTAAAAAAGGCATCCCTTATAAAGTTTTTGCTCTACGTATTAATATAATAATGATTTTATATATGCAATATGAGAATACTTAAAGGTCAAATCAAAATACCTACTTATTTATATATCTTTGTTACAGCCACTATGATAAGCCAAATCTACCGTCAATTAAGAATGTAATTTATACACAGATCTAACAAAAACTATATAAATTGGATTGTGCCTTATTATTTGGCTGATTAATACTTAAAAAAAGTTAATGTAATAACCATAAGCATATGCCATTGCCATGATTTTTTATAAACATTATTTTATTAAAGAATAAAATGGCGGTAGTGGTCATTATTGTAAGAAATTTGATAGGGGGCGCCACTGTATTATGCTCCAGAATCAGTAACGCCATCTTTCCACTACTATTTTGAAACATGTAGTGGAGCAATCAATAATAGAAATAACAAACATACGGAATGGAACCCTCGTAAGGTGAACAAGTATCCACTAAGAAGGAATCCCTGTTAACTATACGTATTAGTATTGAATTAATATTATTACTAAAAATTTTATCTTCAATCATAACCTAAGAATATACACCGCAAGAACCATTTACAAGCTAAACGGATAATCCAGCCATTAATGCACTCAAGTCATTTGTAAATAAACTGGCTATTAAAAAAGGAATTCAGTTGTGTTTCTTGCTTGTTCTTCTCAATTGAATCTGTGTACTATACTGGACGGTAGGGAAAAATATTAATAAAAGAACTTACGATTATAAGCAGCTGGAATGTTCTACATGAATAAATATTTTTTTTATTTTGATTTGATTCATTCATTTTGTATCAACCATATTAGAGGGACTTTATAACCCAATACATGTTAGTATTTTTAATCGTTACACATGTTTAATAAATGATTTTATAATTTCTTCCTATTTTATGCTAGATATTGGGTAAATAAAGTTATACAAGTAAATAATTGACGTATAGTTACATACAACATATTCAATCCAATGAGAATTGACGTATATTTGTTCAGCTGCGAAAATGATATCTTCTTGCATTGTTAGATGAGAACGGTCTTATGAATGGATGATACAACATATTATTAACATTACAGTGTTCAAAATGTGAATAACAATAATGTTACAATTATATTTTTAATTTAAGTGTAAAATTCTATTAAAATATTTAGCAATATCGCTAATAATAATAATGGATATGTTAAAATCTCCGTTGCAGAATCAGGTACTGTAAAATCTTATCTTACTAATAGATAAATGCGGAAGTTTGTGAGTATCAATGGATACATGAATGGATAAATTTTTTAATAGCGGTATTAATTTATATGGTAAGACAGCGTTTTCCGGGTCAGCTAGTCTTATTAACATTATAAACGTAAAAGTTTGTGAGTTTGGATGGATAAATGGATAGATAGATGTTTGTTCCTCTTTCACGCAAAAACTACTGAACGGATTTTGATGTACATACAGTAATATAGTTTTTAGAGGCTATAAATTACATGCGAGTGAAACCGCAGGCATAGCTAGTATTATAATGTTATTAAAATATAAACTAATATTAGAAATTCCTGATCTACATATATTATATGTTAAAAAGGACTGCAATTAAAAAAAAACAATACAGCCATTATTACTCGTTGATGATTTGACTAATGGTGAAAAAAAATTCCAAATTAACTTAAGTAGTTTTGAATTTACACAATACTAATTTATGCAAAAAATATCTCACGTATTTGTAATGTTAGTAGAGATATGTAAATTAATATAAGCTATATTATAAGTACGAGGTGAAAAAGAGAATCAATTTGCATTCAATATGTTCTTTGTCCAACTCTGTTAAACTCTTGTCTCATATTCTCTATTGTTGGTATAACATCAGAGAATATGAATCTTCTATTCTAAACTTGATCTATTTCCATTGCTTAATTTTCAATCTATTTGATTTTCAGATATTTGTCATATGTGGCGTCCTGAGTACTATTGTCAGCTGTGGCTTGGGTCTTGGATATCTATCAATTTTTCTAGAACAAAATGGTAACGACAATATCCAGACTTTTCGCATAAACAACACGTTAGATGGCTATATTGGTAATATATATTATATTTACTATAATACTTTCATAAATAGTAACAGGATATGTAGTTGACTAAGATAATATCAAACGTAAAGATACATATATTATAAATAGAAAGCGATTAAGTAAAAAGAAATATATAAATTTTCAGTCTATGGTTGAAGGAAAGGCTTACTTAGTTGATAATGGAAATATATAAACTAATAGAAGTAATATAGATAATGAGATATCTGTATATACAAGTAACGTCACAGTATCTAAATGATTTTTAGATACAGTAAACAAAATAAAAGTAATAACAAAGAGCCAGAAATTTTCAAACAACTCCCAGAATTTAATATAAAACATTTTAATATTATTTACTTAATAAAGAGCAAGTTACAATATAATAAGACGCGACAGTCATAAACCTTGTAAGTGATGTAAATTTAATTTTCAGAAACCGCTGGTGAAATAGCATTTCTGCCATCAATTGTGGTTATACCTTTCCTAATGCAGAAGAAAGGAAGAAGGCTAGCTAATTTAGCAACGACAATCCCTCTATTAATTAGTTGGCTCATAAGTTTCAACGCTAACAACTTTATTAGCATTCTGTGTGTTCATGTACTGCATAATATATCTATAGGAGGAGCAGTAACCATAAGCAATATAATAATTTCTGAATTCTGTGATCCAAAATATCGCGGTACATTCTTGATGTTAGAAACTGGTATGATATCACTTGGAGTATTATTAAGTCATGTTTCTGGCATATTTTTAAATGGAATGCTGGTTTCTACTTTAGGTATGGTAACTGCATTAATAAGTATATTTATTACATACTTTTGGCCTGAAAGTCCGTACTGGTTAATTAGTCAAGGGCATATTATAAAAGGCACTGAAGTTTTTAGGTTATTGAGAGGCACTGATGTTGACTCTATGGATGAATTGGAAATTTTACTACTAACGCAAAAAAGAAAATTGCAATTGAAAGCTCTAAGGCCTATAAGATCATTAAATTTAAGTGAACAAATTACAAATTACCTTAAATCTTTATTAAAAGTCGAATTTCTGAAACCACTCTCTATAATGCTATTGTTATTTAGTTTTATTGGATTTGGAGGTGAAAATATTATATCGAATTATAGACTTACTGATGTATTTAAACTAACAAGTGGTAAATATGTTGGAACTATAATTTTAGATGTGTTAACATTAGTTTGTTCACTAACAGCTTGTGTATTAGTCCAAATAGTTAAAAGAAAGACTCTTTTCTTATTTACAGGTTCTTTTTCTATAATATTTCTAGCATTGACATCTATTCTTTTCTTTTTGCAATCGTTTGAGATATTTTCAAAAGACTATCTCTGGATTGTACTATCTTTAGTAACTGGTTTTGTTATGTTTATGTCTTTAGGAACAACAGCCTTACCTTTTTCATTGTTAGGTGAAATATTTCCTATGTCTTACAAAGGAGTAGGTAGTTCTTTAACGTGTGCATATTTGTGGGCATTTGGTAATAGCATTTTGAAATCAGCACCTATTTTAACTAAATCAATAGGAATTCATGGCGTGATGTTACTATCGGTTCTAATGATGATTATAATATTAATATTAATAAATAAGTTAATGCCAGAAACGAATACAAAAACTTTGTTGGAAATTCATCAGTTGATGAAATTAAATAAAGACGGGAACTATCAAGTTACTGGTCTTATAAAAGAGCAAGAGGAAAACGAGGACTTTGATAGGCTTCGGTTATTTATAGAAGTATGATAACTTTGCAAATTATATATTGTGATAATATTGACAGAATGTGACGGAATAAATTGAAGCAGATTTTGAAACTAACTCTTTATGTTCTCAAAATTCTATATTTACATTACTTTAAACATATATAATGTTTACACATATATAAACAATTCCCTATTATATTACATCACATACTATAAAACATTGTTATAGTATTTTATTAAATAATATTTTCAGATTATGATTATTCTTTTTGCAATCTATATCTTTATCGTTATTCCTATATGATATATATACAATACAATATTGAATGATTTTGAAATTTTTACTTCATTTATATTTTGCTAAATTGTACATATTTTGTTATAAATTGACATTTAAGAGTCCCATTGTACATACCAAAATATCCTTATTCATAAACGGATACACTAATCGAGTTGTAAGTTCTGATTGCGAAAGTTGTAAATTTAAACAAGTTAGCAGAGGTTTTGCTCTCAGTCCCTAACTTTATAGATTAAATCATAAATCTTTGTTGAACTTTGGAAATTGAACGGCGGGTATACTTTTGTTTTATCGTTACGTTTGTCACCTGTCAACCCGTTTCAAGCTGTAATCCAGGTGTCAAAGGATACATTATGTAGACCAGAGCTGTACAAAGTGAGGCCCGCAGTTCATACTCCACCCGCACTTACATTTGTGTTGTCAGCGTCATAATCCTAATTTACCACATTGTCAAAACTTTCTTTTTATTATTTCAATGAAATTATTTCATCAAAGCCATCACAAATAATGAATGAACGTTTTGTTTACAGGATTAAAAGTGTTTTTCTTTGTTATTTAGAAATTCTGAAACTATCTTTCCTTCGTCTTCTTCGTCCTTCGTCCTTCAGTTCCTTTCCTAATCCTTGTTTCTTTCCCTTACCCACCACCGTCCATTCTAATAGAATAGCTGCATAACAAAATCATCACCATTTCCTGGCGTTACAGATGTTCGTAGGCAAAAGGAATCACTAATTGGTCATAAAAACGACTATTTATTTGTTAACATTATACATGTGTTTATTTCTGCGGCCCTTCAATCTATTTTGTGGTTTGAAATAGCCCGACATTTTATGTGATTTAGACAGCCCTGGTGTAGACAATGTAATCTAACATTTACTCTAAAACAAACTCTGTGACGGAGGTCCGTGGGTGGTTATTCAATTAACTATTCTTAGAATATTAAATAATCTAGTTGAGTGTTGTTGTTACTATGTAATATATACAGTATATAGTAATAAGACATGTTTTCATTCATATACTGTAATTAGAATTTATCGGAGACAATAATAGTAATAACCTAGAGCAATTTACACAGCGCCATCTAGTTCTAAGCTGAGCAGAGCTTGTGACAACTGAAACATAAGCTTAAATACCTTTTTTATAAATACATAATATATATAGAAAACACATGGACCAATACAAACTAACATACTCATGAATATAAATGTCATCATGCGAAAATCGAACCCGCGAATATAGGAGGTAAGTGTACTAAACCGCTTGACCAACATACCCGCCATTTCATGCAAATGTAGATATGTTTTAATTTAATACACAAATATGGGAGCAGGACATTGTCGACTACCGAAGGACCAGGAGTAACTGTGAGGGTAACGCAGTTGGAATCGAGTCATAACGCGAGTTTCAAGATGTTTGTGGCCCGAGTTCTCACCAACATGCTGCCCACCTTCATGAAGGAGGACTACTGGCCGAAGGGTGTGTTCTATCAGCGCTACCGTGGCAGATTACCATCATCAGTGCCGTGATCACACATACAATTTATATTTCATTTGTATTAATTATATTATTCATAAGTATGTTAGTCTGTAAGGTATTTATATGGGCCATTGGTAGACTGAATAAAATAAATAAATAAAAATAAAAATATCAGAATATGTAATCTAAAAGAATCGATTGTAACGAGATTGTTAGTAATGTGGACTGATCCCATCGCTAGCAATGTACCATATCGGGTTGACCTCCATCGGGTTCCACCTGGAAACCATCGTGATAAGTTCCGAGTGAACCAGAATGTGCTAACTGACCTGACATCATGTTCATCTTATCCTCCACTGGTGCCATGCCAGCGTATACCGTATCATCCATAAAAAAAAGAATCCATTAAACTGTCAAAGCTATAAATTACGATACTGGAGAATAAATTCAAAATACATTACACTGCAAATTGTGTTCCCTATAGCATTTCATATTGAGATAAATATAATTAATTTCAAAACAGATAGGTCTGCTGACGAAGGATTGGCTAATTGCAAATTAGCTTTGACAATAATACGTAGAGCGTGAAATCATTATCACTATAATCACATACGAGGTAGTCAGTGGTATTGTTAAGGTCGTTATAAATGTAATAAAAACATGCTTACATATATTTGGATTCAACACGTCGTGCGAATTTGGATTCAACATGCCGTTAAATCCAAATATGTTTGAATTAATTTGTTTTTATGTGAATAGATTTCACCAGATACTCAGTTAAAATATGAACAGATTCAATTTTATTCGAAACATTTTATTAGCCAGAAAATATCATTCAGAATAATATTTCATCTTTTTGACGTTAGTTGAACAAACTGTTGACACCTACCAGAAACCTTCCAGAAGATTTTTTTAAATGCAATGAAAAGCGCAACAAAATCTATTGCTTGACTTATATTAAGTAAACTGCAATACTTATACTATTTCGAGATAGAAGAAATGGCTTTCTTTGCTCGCTGCTGACTTCCAGATTAATGGATTTATCTAATGTAATATAATGTAAATTATACTCTATTATTTAGTCTCTCGTCTGGGTCGTTGTGCGTGTAGAGCTGTGAGTACTAAAGTAGCCAGCCAAGCTCCTCCCAAAAGCGTAGAAGCTGGTGTCTTCATAGCCTTCACGGAGCGACCTCATGAATTTGTAACCTCATCGAGCATTTGTGAACTTTGTGTGCTACTTGGTGGAGCGTGAGCTTCGAAGTATTCTCGACTAAAAATATTTTCCCACTTAGCCTTTCATGTAGATCCTTGAGCATGTAAAGCTAGCCCCACTAAATGAGCTAGACAAGTTCCTCTTAGAAGCACAGAAGCCTTTAGGTGTCTTTACAGGCTTTACAGAGCGACCTTACTCTTCCTAAGGTTTGCGAACGATTTACGGCCACTCCTACGTACTCCAAGATAATGTAAGTGGCTGTTTCTTCGATTTCAAAGCAGCCCTGATAAAGAAGATTGACCGGATTGATTGACTGATCCGAAATAAGTACAATTTCCGATGAACGTACTTAAATAAGTCACGTTCAGCGTGAGCCGGAGATGTATTAGGAGTTGTAACAACTTCACCAGGCAAAGGGTCGTAGGGTTAGTATTGTAATATTGTATGTTTACTTCGTAATGCTCGGTTTGTTTTGGGTCTGTGGCGAGTGAATAATGACTTGATAGTTGCGGTTCCAGTAGCAACTTGTTGAGAACTAGTTTTATATATATACATATAATAGTTCCGATTAGTTAGCTAGTTCTATCTGGTAAGTTGTTGAAAATCATAAATTGTTTTAATGGTTTTTGTAAATTTTATATAAAACTAGTAGACCCTGCCACGCGTTGCTGTGGCTAAGGTTCTTGAACAAAATAATACTGTAAATTGAGATGTAAGCTATCTATGGGATACAGTTACCTAGATACATCAAAATAATTGCATTTAATAAAGCCTAGTAAGACAAATTCAATATTGTCTACTAAGCACTGCTGTGTCTAAACTGTGTCACCCCACCTTACATTTTCCTGTTGTTATTTAGTATATAAGAGCATTAGTTCTATGTACATATTGTCAGTCTATTATCATCTGTAATATACATCATCTCGACCAACAACATAGTATCATACACCCGCAACACTATCCTATCTTTCAAGTTGGATCAAATTGCACAAATTGTGCAAATTAAATGTGCAATCGGTTCAGTTGTTTAGGAGTCCATCGCGGACAAACAACGTAACGCGTAATTTTTATATATAACTAGCTGTCCAGGCAAACGTTGTTTTATCTTAAAATAAAAAAAAATTTAAGGGGTGGACTACCCCTAACATTTAGGGGGATGAAAAATAGATGTTGGCCGATTCTCAGACCTACTCAATACGCTTACAAAATTTCATGAGAATCGGTTATGCCGTTTCGGAGGAGTATGGGAACGAAAACTGTGACACGAGAATTTTATATATAAGAAGATAGAGTGTAACCAAAAGAGTACATAATAGAAGATGAAATAATAGCCACAGTTGTTTAGCAGTTTAGCGCACCGCCTTATTTAGATGAAAAACAAATGTTACAAACATTTTTAATATATATATAAGTTGTTTAGTACCCCATAACACAAGCTCTGCTTAACTTGGCATTGTATAAATCGTCCTGGGATAGTAGTTCATGGATGATTTTTGACGCAGACTGTCAAATGTTTTACACATATCTCATTTTAATTATTGCCCCGTTATTATTTCGAGTATTGTCTATACTACAATATATGTACTATAAAAAACTCGACCTCATTTTTCCGGCCCGGTTACAGTTCGTTGGAACTCCTTATATAAACTGCGACCTCTTTTCTGACACGGGACCTAATGAATTATTTAATTTTCGAACGGAGCGCCGCCATTTTTAATTTGCGAAAGAGCATTAATTGGTTGGCATTTGTTTTTTGCGCAGAAATAGAATTAACTGGCGACTAGAGAAAGTAAAGATTATAAAACATTGAAAAAGATTGCAAACAAGTAATATTAAAAACAAACAATAATCTGTTCTCAATTTCACAACAGACTTTATTACATGATAAAACAAAGCTGTCGCTGTCGCTGTCGCTGTCGCTGTCGCTGTCCCTATATATGCTTAAATCTTTAAAACTACACAACGGACTTTGAAGCGTTTATTTTTATAATATTTTATTATTATTATATTTATAGTTTATTTTTATTATATTTTATATTTTATTATTAGCGTTTATGTTTATAGATAGAGTGATTCAAGAGGAAGGTTTATA